TCAAAATTCACCCGAGTAGTTGCTTCTTCAAGCGAATGCCACCAAACGCGATTTACACTGTCACAATCATTGACCAATATATTTCCACCGGGAACAGACACAATAAACTAAAGAATTTCGCTAAAACGAATTACTTAATTCGGTGAAATATATCGCACATATGAATGGGCGGATACTTTCGTGATAGCTGTATATCCGGAGCGCGATACGTTTAAGTTACCATCGCGGCGCTAGGAAATTCGTATCGTTAATTATTTCTGTCTTTCCGTTTTAACTGGAGCACTAAATTTTCGTCCGCGGAGCGGAAACAGAGCGGAGGGAGAGGAGGAGCAGCAGGGAAAAACGAAGAAAAACGAAGAAAAGGACCAATGGGAATTTCGCTCAATATTGCTGGCTCCCGTGTTGAATGGCACAGAAACTTCGTTAAAGCTCTTTTTCTCTAAAGAGCCGAGGAGGACAGAATGAAACAGAGAGAGAGAAAGATAGACATAGATAGAGAAAGAGACAGAGAGAGAGAGAGAGAGAGAGAGAGTAAACGCGCAGGCCGCTACTTCGCGTAAAATAATATTGTTGTTGCTTTTAGGAAGTACATCGTCGAAGCATGATAAATGATCGCGTGCAACAATAGATGTGTGTCACCTGATACAGGGGGGGAAACCGCCGCCGCGCTGATCTGAATCCGTCGCCACAGGCCGGACCATTGTTAGGTGAATATATCGGGCTATCAAGTGATTTTTTTCCTCCCGCCGCGGCCGACAAAAACCGAAGATTTGTTTTGCCGCGAAATTTCGGATTTGTCGCCGGTTCTATTTTGCGGCGCACAGCAATCGAGTCGCGTCGATTACGGTTCGGAAGTCGGCTGTTTCGCTTTCGGAGTTCAACGAGGTACAGAGAAAGGACCAGCGAAATTGTTAACACATTGCGTACTCACTGATTTCAACGCTACATTTACGGAGATTTTTTCTACACTTTATTCTATCGCTCTTAGAAGATTATTTGTTTGTTTGTATCGATGGTGGAAATTAGTTTCGAGAACAGAGAATTATGTGTACTCGTGCAATTGCATCAATCAAAAGCGACTTAACACTAGAACTACCAGATGGGTCAGAACGGCCCATTTCTGGTTTCTTCTTTTACAATTACTGGAAAGGTGCGGATGTTTCTCTGAGAAATCGTTTAAAAACCTGATTTAATAATACCTACACTGGAATATAAGTCGATTGAAATCTTAATAAATACGCGGTTATAAGTTTTATGAAGAAATTTGGAAAAATCAGTTTAAGTGGTAGTTCTAGTGTTAAACTGTAATAAAATAATGTTGAAAGAATTCAATATCCGTGAAATTGGCGAGTTTGAATCTAGTGTTAAGAATAGCTTGAATGGCTGGCTATTTTCAATGAGATAAATTTACATCGCGAAACATAGGGGGATACGATATTTTATTATTTAATATGTTTTGAATCAGGAATCGATTCTGATAATATTTTGTATTTTTATAATTATGCGGCAATTAGCAAAGACATGTAGGTTGATATTTGTATAAAAATGGATTGGTTTCACTAAAAACCGTTATGTATATTATAGTGGTTTTCTCAAATGAAATTGGTATTACGCGAGTCGACTTATTCTTGAAACGTTACACGAAATAGAATTTCAAGACCATTAAGCCGACGACTATTAATTCCTTCAGAAACTTTAAATTAGCTTATTATACCCATAGAGATATAAGCTCTTAGCGCCCGCATGTGACGTTAACTTCAACAAAAGATGAGTAATAGAGGCTCAACTGGAGGAAATTACTTTTATTACGATTGTATCGTATCTAATTCACCTTTCAACCTCGATAACACGTTTTCGACCGTCATTACTTCTTCCCACTTTTAACGAATTATCCAAATAAAGCGACATCGTCGATAAATGTTCTAAAAAATTAATAGTATCTATAATGTATTAGGGAACACAATAACATTAATTCGTTTACTTTGTTTTAATACAATTATTCGGATCTCTAGTGATGCATTTATTATACGTATCTAGGTTCTTAACCCATTCAAATAATTAATGAATGTAACTGTATTATTATATATTATTAATGCCACAATCGTTTACTATAAGCATTATTACGACTAAATTAAAATCAATGTACTCTCTAATCATGCGAACACAATAAAACTGAAAATTCCACGATACTAGCATAATTCTCATCCTGTCAGACGATGAAAATGGATTACCTAAGGGTTAAATAAGATCGAAACCAGTCCTACTCTGAACCGACGAGAGCACGAGATTCCCTGATGCCAATTATTACCATCGCTGCGAGCAGGATAACAAAAACAGATCACAGGCACGTACATTACGTACGTCAAGAAACAATCGTGCCTGGGTAACGTAATTTCTCGCTGAAAAGGTCTGTGGTGCGGACGTGAAGGAGATACTATGGTATGGTCGTCCCACAAGTTCGTGCTGTTTATTCTTCTAATTATATATAAAAGAATATTTTATGAAACATCAAATTCTTATAACTTTACCACCTGTTCTCTGGAATATTGAGTCGCTCTATACGGTTAAGACCAGAAAACAAAAATTGAGAAAATGTTTTTTAATAGATTGCTTTTTAAAATTGGTTCATTCATTTGATTAGAAAAGTATATAAAGTCATTTCCAAAGGGTAGACTCTGCAATAATAGAATATTTACTCTATTAAAATTGACGAAAATCTGAAAATATCGTAAAATCTACCGCATTGGCTTCTGAGCGATTCATTTACTGCCTTCAAACATAAATGAAATATCACTTTTCTTTCATCGATCGTTAACCTGTATAATAAACGTAGTCACAGAATAAACAGAAAATCCTTTTTTTTCCAATATGAGTCTCTTGAAAGCCAATGCGGTTGAGTGCAAAAAAAAAATTGAGGAATTTATGTTTTCTAAGATGATTATACAACGTATTCAAAAACTATAAGAAGGACTTTCTGATTTAGAAACAACGAAGAAACGAGTGAATCCTTGAATAACTAGAAAGAATATTACTTACTCCATTAAAATTTACGAAAATCCGGAAATATCGCGGACTTAATCGCATTGGCTTCTGAGCGACTTAATTATACAAACATTGTACGAGTATTAGAATTCCGTAGAATTTCATTTATATTATATTAACCCTATGCACCTCTATGTCGAGTCGTAAATTAATAAATAAAATCGTTTCAACTGAAACGAATAAAAACAGAAGCATTGGATTCTGACCGACTCGTATCTTCCACGGAGTAAACTGCAGCATAAAATTAGTCAGCCAAGTCCTCGTATCGCTTTGTAATCAGCAATGAACGCACAGCGTCACGAACTTACTGGACGACCCAATATTTCGAATAATACTCGAATCTTCTTCGGGTGATTTCGATCTCCAGCGTTCGCTCGGATTTAATTAAACAAGAACATTCGAAAAACCGTCGGCATAGTTTTCCGGCGCACGCGTCCTATACATCCTGCAGCCGCATATTCCGCAGTGTGACGAACTTTGGCAACTGAAAATCATTGCATTCATCGCGGCCTAATAACCCGTCGCGAACTTCGAAATTTCTCAGCGACCGATCGGGGCCCGGCGCGAGATATTCCGCGGCAACTCTTTCAAAGGAGCCACCGGCGAAATCTATCGACCTCACTTCGGAATTCTTCGAGACGTAGGCCTCGACCGCCGATTCCTGAATTAGAACTAGTCCGATCGACACAGTTTCCTGCGAACTTTCGCGTGCATAGGGTGGTCCTGGATTAACACGTTGAATGCCATGGGGGTCACCGGTGATCTCAACCAAATCGAATTACTATAATTCATTCGATTAAACCATGATTGTTTAAAAACTTTTCTATATTATAAGTAATACAACTTAATGCACTGACATTCAACAATTCAAACCTGTAACGATAACAACGTAATGCAATGGCATAAGTTGATGTTATATTATTTTCATTTTCTATATTTGCCTCGGCAAAATCGTGCGGCAGTCAACGTGTTAACATTAAAACTACCAGTCCCATTTTTGAGTTCTTCTTTTTGCAATTATTAGCCCTTTACGATCGGCACATTTTTGTGGCAGTATCAACTAGTCGAAGCAAATATAGACTTTTAAAGTTATTTTGCTATAGGTGATTTATAATCAATATATGGATATTAACAAATATCGATTATTTTTTTAAGTCAATGTAGTATGTTGAATATGTATACTGCAGAGAATAATAGGTACTTATAATAGATCTCGATCGTAAAATAACACTGTACTCAGAGAAAATGATAATGCCGCCATATTAGCGATACCGATTTTAAAGACAAATGTTGAATGGGGCCATATTGACGGCACCGATCGCAAAGGGTTAACATATTGCACACTGGCAACGAGAAATCTCGTTTTTCTATAAAGACACTTAGCTGTGTGACCGCTAATTATCACAGCATTGAGGAGAACATTAAACTTCATTAGGACTGGTTGTTTCTTTAAAATATATTACATGACAATATATTTGAGATGTTCAATATACAGTGATGTAAATTGATCTCACTGAAGATCGGCATCTGCACAAATTCCTGAAAATTAGCTCGTACCTAATGTTAATGTGTTAACTGAAGAAAAGAAGAATTAAGGAAATGAATGTTTCGGCTTCTGAAATGATTATATAACATATTCAGAAGCTATAAGGACTTTCTGACCTAGAAAAAGTGAAGGAACGTACAATAATATTGTCACCTTTACATAGTAAATCCTTGAATAACTAAAAAGAACATTATTGATTCCATTAAAACTTAGAAAAATCAGAAAATATCGAAAAATCGACTGAAAAACCCGGTAGTACTGGCTTCCGGGCGACTCAAATGATAAGTGACAGCAATTTGTTTCTTTACCGACAACCGTATAATCAGGCCCTTCTCCCAAACACCCGTTCGAATCACAATTTCCAGGTCGGAGAAAGAGAATCTCTAGACAGATCAAGGGAAATCACACCAACCTTGAGCGTAGACGACAGTGAACAAGGCGACGATACCGGCGAGGACGTGACACCGCATTTTTCCCCTCTCGTTTCCGGTTTCGGTCCGTTCCCTTCTCTTTTCCCGTATCCAGTTTCGTTTCACTCGTTTTTATCCTCTTCCCTCTGTCCCGTTTTTTCTCCTTTTCGTTCCTTGTTATTTTCACGCGATCTCACGGAAACCCGTCGGTTTCTTTCCGTTCACAGAAAAAAACACGAGGCGGCACTCGGTTTTAATCGCGTTTTCGGTGTATCGCGTGCCGGTTAATCGACGGTATTTGTTTCCGCGGGGTCGCGGCTCGATCGTTTAACGTCACGGAAGATCCTGTATTCATTCATATCACTCGACGCTCACTTTCTGAAAACACGGCCATTTCATTGTTTACGGATTCCACCTATTCTTCCCCGTCCCCATGAATTCTCTCCCGCCGATCCGGCCAGTCACGTGTGGCGATTCCCACTGGACGATGAATTTCGTTGTGCGGCCGCTCCTAGGATGACTCTCTCGATCATTCTGCAAAAAGTGAAATATTATTCTTCCTTTTTTTTCCGGGACGGTGCCCTGAAAAAATATTCGACGAATTTTTGAATTGAATTAGTTCCGATAGACTAGATCAGGTCGGCGCGGGACCGTTTCGCCACGTGACTTCGTGTGCGTGATCTCTCCACGAAAATGGTAACGCGTCACGTGTTTCTTCTATGAAGATAATACGAACTTTCGACGAAGGTAATGTTAATCCTTTGCACTCGGGAGGCGCCTTTCAGTCGCCATTTGATTTGACCGACAGAATGGTAAAATTTACAATTTAACATTAAATTTTCTATAATCTATCAACAGACGGAACATGGACATGAAAGAGTTCTGTTATTTAATTTACGCGAAGTATTTCTTTATGTTAGTTGTAAAAAGTACCATTGATATTTCATCAGAAAATAATGAATGCTTGTTAAGAAAAATATTCTCGAATGCAAAGAGTTCATAATGACACACAGATAACTTGCACTGGTGATGGTTAACCCCTTGGTTACGACAGAATGTTGCGTCAACGCGCATTTGTAAGGAAGTGTGTTGAAACCATCGAAACACTGAATTGAACTGAATTAAATTCATATAGAATAGTGACATTTATAGAATATATAACTAACGGAAGGTGTGATTGTTGAATTAGAATTCAATTACGTCTGATCCAAGTGAGTTTTGTAATTATTGTCGATGACATTTCATGAGAGCCAACAGTACACCGGAACGAAAAGTTCCAAGCGCCTTTAGGAGTCAACAGTAGTCAAGGGGTTAAGCGATAACATATATTTAATTCGATACCTTTTAAATTGCAACGTGCTTCAACTACCTCTTCCCAGTTTTACCATATTTTATTATTCAACTTAGAAGTATATATCCTCAGCGTCCCAAGTTCCCTCTCAAACACTAACAAATTACCTAACCAAGAAATATCTGAACGGTGCGAGAATCAATAAATAAAACAAACAAACAAGAATCTATGTAAGAAACAAAACTCTGGCTTCATATTACTCAAAGAAACAATACGGAAAGGAAATTCATAATAAAACATTGATCTCCCTAATTCAAGACTCTAACAAATACCCCTGGTCCCCGTTGAAGCGTGATCCAAGAAAGGAACAAATGATGAAAATTCAGTTAGCATCTTCTGAGCAGAAAACCTCGACCTCAGACCGCGAGTGTTTCACATTTCAGCTCAAGAGTCTTTGCGGGGATCCTCGAAGTTGTTCAAAGTCCCCCGGGGACGCGGACAAGAATATCCGTCACCTGCGGTCCGAAGATTTCACCGATCGCGGTAAGTATCGATGAAAGATAGCACAAAAGCGCGGAGCCGAGGAAAGGGAGGCGCGGAAAAGTTGGCCAGGTAAGCAAACCCGACGGAATCGAGAAGTTAGGCGCGTCGCGACGCTCCCCGGCTGCGGTCTTTCCGTTCGGGCGAACTTCGCCGGAAGTTCTAGGGGAGTGTGCGAAAGAACAAGCAGCTGAAAGGAGAATGATACGCTGGAGCCGATGCATCGCGAGTCGATCGACCGATTCTTGCTCCTTAACCCCTTGCCTTATGATTTATTTCGACTATAACCGATAGAACTACGTTACTGTTAATAATTTAGTAGGAGAAGAAAGAAATTTCATGCTTAATCTACGGCTACGTTTACTGCAAAGGTTAACGACTGATAGTAGAGAAGTAATATTTCATTTATATTTAACAACAATAGATAACACTTAGATCTCTCAAATTCAGTTGAACATTTTTACGAGTCTGACACGATATTGTAGGTTAAAGGGTTAATATATTGCCACGGAACTTTCGGTTGTATTTTGCTTATGAAACTACATTCTAGCTACATTCAAGCTACATTCAAGCTTCTGGTGATTTTTATATATTTTCGTATTGTTTCACGTCTCGCTGCTTTGTAACTTATACCGCTGTTCGTGACGATGTGTCCCTTAAAAATACTTTATTACAAATCGACGTGTATATGTGGTACACGTGGCATTGTTCATTTAATTTTATATTATATGCTTTCCTTCATTTCTGTCTCCATTAAAAAAAAATGCATCTAATCGTTTGGCGTATCGAATCGAGTGACGAGAATCATCTCTACAAAGGCTCAATTACGTTCGTTCGCTTCATTCCTAAACCAACGAATACTTGGCTGAAATTGCAGGCACACCGACGTCCACGTTATTTTCCCCGACGAGAACTTGGAACATTAACAATGATGACCAGCACTTGGAGACTCCAGCTCGCCGATGAAGCGTCGAAATGAAGAATAAAACGGAAAATCAAACTGAAAGCTACCGATAAGGGGCGAGAAGCCCAGATCCGATAAGCGCTTGGTTTCCTATCTTCCCGCTGAGTTTCGCGTCCTCTTTCACTTTCCGGCTTCTTATCCGCCCCGAAAGTACGGCGAACACGAGGAATATGCTAACGCCGCGTTGGGAAAGGTGTACCGAGTTTTTGAAGGATTTTATCGGCCGGTGATTGATGAACCCTGGAAGGACGAGCCAGCTGTAGGCGCGCAAACACCTCGAGCTACGTGTTACGCCGCCGCGTACAAATCAAATAGCACTCGAGCAACGGCTTCCCTGCTCTCTGTCTCTCCTCTCGGCAACGAAACTTTCCTTTCGAGCCGCGCCATTGTCGCCCGGCCGTCCTAAATCCTCTGCGCCGTAGCTAGCAACCAGGGGCGCGTTCCTCCGGCACTCTGAACCGCGGCGACGGGGGCATAATTGAATAAAACCGCTAAGTGATTAATTGCATGAACCGTCGCGGCGCTCTTCCTTGCCAACTAACTTCGTCCTCGACTTTAAAGAACGCTTACGGGATCCCGTGTTGTTTTTTACGCGACTTCGGATGACGCGACGCCGCGAATGCCCGTGATTCCGACGAATTTTGTTCAATCCGCGTAGTGCCGACAAACGGCCGTCTTATGGACAAAACTCGATGACTTGAGAAGTATGAGTGATACAAACAAATGTTTCGCATGAAAGTTGTAAGGTATAGAGTTTGGCATATGGTGGTTATATTTTTGATACACTATGGAGATATTGTGAAGTTTTTTCAATGACAATAGATACTTAATAGGTTTATTCGCATAAAATTTTGACTTTTTGAATGAAAATCATTTTGCATAGCAAGGGCTACTTAGCAACACATAGGTAACCTTCAGTTCTCGTTATGTGAATAATCGAATTTTCCGGTTTCGTCCACAGTGTGTCCAAACTGCCGTTTTCTGGGCGAAACTCAATAACTTCAGAAGTATGAGTGATAGAGATAAATGTTTCAGATGAAACTTGTAAGGTATAAAGTTAAGCATATGGTGGTTATATTTTTGTTTATATTGTAAGTATATTATGAAGTTTTTCATTGACAATGGATACTTTACGTTTCGATTTCAGCATTACGTAAATAGAGAAACGAGGTTTATTCGCACAAAATTTTGATTTCTTGAATGAAAATCATTCTGTATATCAAGGACTACTTTTTAATACATTGGTAACCTGTAATTTTCGTCATCCGAATAGTCAAATTTTTGGGCTCGTCCACACGCGGCCGCAGTATGCGCCGGAAGAACGGTTTTTGCTGGTTATTATTGCGCGCCGGATGTTCGCGCACTTTTATTGAACGCGGAGTACGGTCCGGAGTGCGTACCCAAAGTAAATTTAATATTGTCTTTTAGTCGAGCACCGAAGTTTCGGTGTTTATGTAGAAGATAGAACGCGAAAGTAAAATTAATTGTTGTTTCCAGTTTCACGGCGGAGCTTCGGTGTCCGCGCAGAAGGTAGAACGTGAAAGTAAAGTTCATACTGTTTTTAGCGTTAACGCGTTGGAAATGGGTATTTTATTTGTTCGCGTTTCCGCAAGCTTTTCGGGGATCTTTTTGCGCGTTGCGATTCGCGGTGTACTGTGCATAGAGAGTCTATGGCGGTTGATTAATTTCTTGAATGTAATGGAAGAAACTGATTAAAGTTTTCTGAAGCTACTTTGTTTCATTTGAATGCGGAACGATGAGCTAGAATATAGTGTACTGACACCTGTATTTACCTTTTAAATTTCACCCTTAGTTCATAACTAATTGTTATTGTATTTTTTTATTTTTCCTTTTGTTGTAGGTTAATTTTAATATCCAATTGAAGAGATTGAAAGATTTTATTATCAGCATTTCTTCGTGTATTCTGAATGTACTGTATAAATATTAACAAAAGCAGTTGCTAATAAGCGTTTCGCAATGTATTACATTCATCATTAATAATATTATAAATAACTGTGTCCCTATAAATATAATTGATTGAATTCAGCATGGAGAATTATCGAAGGGTTGACAAATGGGAGTTGTCCATTACTTCAAAACACAGATATACCATTTCCCTAAATAAATAAAGTACATAGAACGTTCGAAGTAATTCACTAAACTATTTCCCGAATAAACAAGTTACATCGCACGAATGTACGATTCAAATAGCACTTGTTAGAGACATCGAATCGCAATGGAAACCATCTCGACGATGAAAATGATTTGCGTCGAAGATTTATCGCCCCGGCCGTCATACTGCGCAAGAACATTTCGTGGTATCCGATAAATATTTACCAAATGTACTACACATTGCTGAACAAATACGTAAACAATACTTGACCAATGTTATGGTTGTAGCGCTTGTGTGAATCGCAGTTGTCCCCACACGAATGCAACACAGCCACCGCTCGCGAAGCATGATGTCAATCAAGCATTGTTTACGTATTTGTTCGACAGCATAATTCATTCCGCAAATATTTACCGAGGGTATACATAATACATACAGGTAATCGTTTAGAAATGACGGTGGTGCAGATCTAAAGTGTTTCACCGCCGACAAAATTGAAATTTGAACACTGCGAACGATGAAATTCAGTTCATTAACCCCTTGGCGTATTGTTTACTTCCGCTGCTAAGCTTGTGTAACATTTTACTGTCGACAATTTCGAAGAAATGCAACGAAGTTTTCCATTCTAC